CAATAATTTGCTCTTTAGGTTTTTTTGCTATAGGCTTTCATATCGCTTTCATTACAGCTTGCCCGAATTTTAGATTCATCGCAATTAGTTGGCCATTCATAATATTCGCAGGTTGATCAAAAAATCTTTGTAGTATATAAGGATCAACCATACCATTTATAGGTGGCACTAAAGGTGACTTCCTTTTTAACAGTTTCGTTTTAACCTTTTTATTTGCTTGTTGACTGGTTAATTGCTGGACTTCTCCTTCGTTATCATTTCTCTTTTTATTTTCAGTTTCTTTATAACGCTTGTAAAGAGTTTCTTAAGCGACTTTGGATCGTGTTCTCATTACTGAATATGCTTCGTATAATGATAAATTCAAGGAAATGACCAATGGTTCTGTACCTTCACCCTCATGAGGTACACTATTAATTTAAATGCTGTTCTTGGGTGTCATCCTGTACCAGTTGTGATAACAACTGAAGTAGCTGCAGTTTCTGTATTTTATTATTCACTGTATTAGGAGTATTATTTAGTACTGGTAGAACTGAAGGAACTATATTCGTGGCATTGCTTTCCGAAGCTTGATTATGCTAAAGGGCTGGATTATCGTAAGAAATATTAAAATTATTAGGACAATTTCTTCTCATGTGTCCAGGCTGTTTGCATAAATAACAGATAAGATTGTTTCATTAAGGCGTAATAGCAGGGAACGCATTGTTCGTCTAAAAGTTTTGTTGTCTCTGGTATACATCATTCCTCTGATATCTATCATTTCTGTGATATTCATTATTACAGAAATCCCTTCTTCCAAAATTCATTTACTGGATTTGCTGTATCAAATTAGCTATAGCTTCATTAAGAGCATTGGTCTGAGTGGATGGTGTAGTGATACCATACTTGTTCATGTATGCAGTTATAGCATTTTGGTTTTGATATATTAATTCATAAGACTTGGCTCTGTTGAGTGTGGCATCCCAAGTTTGGTCATTATGAGGCTTCACCATTAAATGTAATTCTGATAAGAGACCATTTACAAGTCTTTGAGCTTTCATCGCTGCTGGATATACAAACTGAGGGGTTTCTATTCTTTGATATAACTCCAGTCGAACACAAGAGTATGCATTAACAGTTTCGTTAATTCTTTGATGTCGTCATTCTAATTCCGTAATCCAGATTTTAACCAAGGTTTAAGAACGAAAGGCAATAGAAAAATTTTGTATGAAATCTGTATTATTGTTATTTCCATCCTATGCATTAATATTATTTGCATTATTATTAGGTAATACTTGATTAGTAGTCCACCATGTAAAAGCTGGTCCTTTAAGATAAGCGGGCACCACTTCTAATTTTCTGGTGTTAATGATTCCATTATCATTGCAGGCCTGGGTGAATTCTTTTAGCCATCCAATAGGGTCCTGGTTTTCTCCTTGATAATTGGGGATTTCAACCACACAGGTCTCCCTTCTAAAAGGATTATTCAATGCATTAGTGTTTGCTTGCATCTGAGCTTATAAATTTATAATAGCATTATTTGCGTTTACTGCTCCTGGAGGTTGCAAAATTCCTTGCAATACTTGCAATACTGCAGTTAGATTTTGAAGATCCGCTGCTTGAGCTGCCATTGGATTTTCTTTTGGGAATAACCAGTCAAGATTTAACAATTCGTTGTTCAAAATTAAATTGCCAAAAAATAGTGTGTCCAATAATCCTATATGTTCTGGTCTAGAATTATAATTTAAAGATATCGGTTAGGTAATTTCAGCTAAATTTGAATTATTGTTTTGTAATTCACTTTCTTGAATATTATTGATTACGGAACTAACTGGATCTTTTGTAAAATGCCAAAGACGAAGTTTTAATCCAAGAGGAAAACAACAGTTACAAGAAAATTGATTGTTATGAGATTTTCTTTATCAAGGCTCAGTTGAAACATGCAAAACTATCTAGATTCTTCTATTTAGATTCTGGCAGAAGGCTCTTTATATTAATAGCAGTTCTTTGATGTTTATGGGTTATAAATGGAGTTTAAAGGTAAGCAGAAGATATCGTGTTTTATTGTTTTTACTAATTTAATTTTTAATATAATAATTGGAATTTCAACTTTAATTCAACATAGATATCATATTGCCTGCAACGTCAGCACTTTATATGATCAGGTATGATAATTAATTATATCTTTCAGAGTTTATTATAATAAAAATGTAAAAGAGAATAATAGATAACAATGTATTCATTTTTTAGGGATTTTATCGAACTTTTTCAAGGATTGGATGAACTGTTTATTATTGTGGATATTTAATTCTTTTTTTTATTGTGTTAAAAACTATATTTCTTTTATTAAAGGAAATTATGTCATTTATATACATAAATTTCTAACAGGACAATTATGGCTAGTGAACAATTATGGTCAATGAACAATTATGGCCAATGAACAATAATGACCAGTGAAAATTAATGACCAGTGAACAATAATGACCAGTGAACATTAATGGCCAGTGATCTTCATTGCACTAACTTAAATTTTGTTAGTCGAATTTCTTATAATAATAATAATAGTAATAAAACATTAGCAATACTATAATAATAAACCATATATAAAAGTGAAACGCTAATAATAAATGCTAATAAACTGAAAATAAAATAAAGAAGAAAATAATAATAGACACATTAATAATTGTTAATAAAATGCTTATTAATAAACCCAATATATATTACGATACAAATAATACATATAATTATTAATGTAACAATATTTTATTAATCATTCTAAAATTATTTTAATTATACTAAAACTATTTATTCATTTAATTATATCGAAATTATTTGTTATAATAAAAATTTAGTTATATTGTAATTAGTTAACTATATTGATCTATTTAATCATGATGAAAATAGTTAGTTATGACAAAACTATCTAGTTATAATAAAATAATTAGTCATAATAAAACTATTTAGTCATGATAAAACATTTAGTTATAATTTAGTTAATCATAATAATTTGATAAAAGGTTTAGGCTTTTAAGTCAGGTATTATTATAGATAGTAATATTATAAATATTATAATGCTTATCCCTTAAATCGTAGGGTTTTGTAGACAAATTGCCTGCTTATTTACTATGAATTCTCTTCTAATTTACTTTTATAAATAATTAATATTTTTTAAAATTTTTTTTTTTAAATTAATTTTATAAATATATAATAAATTATA